TTTAATTCGACATATAAAAGTGACAATATATTTTTATTTTGTTGAAACATTGAAAACATATGGTAGAAGAAAGTAAATGTTTATATTTAGAATCATATGTTGTTTTGAGCTCATTTACATGATGGATGAATGAATTAATTAGTCTATAGAAAATGTTGATGACTAGAAACTAATCTAGATATTTCATGCATAAAAATTTTCTTATGTCGAACTTTAATCAGCATGGATGTTTTCAATGAAACTTATTTTTACTCTTATTGAAATGTATTTTATTTTACACAGCATATCTATACAAGTTTTCATTTTGAATAAATAAATAACGAAAATGTTTGTCATTTGTAAAAAGAACCAGCCATTAGTTTTCAGTTATTTATATGTGCTTTGTAAAACTATACAGTACTTACTTTTGAATGCTATTTTTTCGTTGAGGGTGGGTGACAGTGGTCTCTTCTGTTGGAAAATATGATTCAAATTTGATACAATTACAAAAATGTCAATACATATTCCAGTAGAGTATCTAAATCTATGACAACAATATAAAATAGAGTAGCATGAAACAATTTTATTGTAAAATATTCATCAACTCTTGTTATAATCTGGTAAATAACAGAACGATCAAATTTTCTGTTGTGGAAAAGCAATACATCTGAAGTATTTTTAGGGCTGTATAAATTTACAATAATATTATTGAAATTTCTTCATAAAATCATTGTTTCGTCAGGTAAAATGTTTTAAAGGTGTACTCTTCTTGCTGTTTTTCAAACTCTACAATATGATGTCATAATTCGAGTTGAATGGTAAAAAGAAAATGTTAATAAACATAACTACCTTGAGCAATTCAGAAAAATATATCGCCTTTTTTTAGGCTTCTATTACGTATGTGAACCTGAAGGCTTTCACGCATTACCAATCGCAGCGTCATTCATAGCGACTCGCCATGTTCTAAAAGCTTTGACTCATACAGGTAAATCACATGTTATGCATCATGATAAAACTCTAGTAATCTATCGATTACACATATAAATACAATTGTTAAAACAAACTAATTTATTCTCTTTCCGTCTTCCTTCATTTGTTTTCTCTTTGACACAGGCGGCTATATATGAAATCTTCGGAATATTTCAACAAACCGATTGCAAACTACAAAGTTGAATATTTTTGTTACTCCGTACAATATCGAATCATTGTTCTACTTGGCTGAAACTATTCGTATTGAGTATAAAAAATGAACCACTTAGATAATAACAGTTGATAAATATCTTATAACTTGAATTTCTTATTGATTTCAATATATGAAAATGGTCTTTCTTGATTCTATTTCATATAGATTAGGTGCTGTTGCTTCACAGTTATCACTTTATTGAAATCTCTTATCTTATTTCTATCGGATATTTTTCTTTAGAATATTTTGGTGGATTTTAACTTGCAATGACTCATCGTATTGTGTGTGTCTATTACAATAATAAAAGGAAATAACATATTATTGTTCTATTCATTTTGTAAACAACAGCAATATCTGAATAGTTTTTCTCTTTTATTTTCAGATAAAATAGAAGATGGTTGGAATTGATGCCCAAAATAAGAATATTCTTGATAGGAAGTTTATTTGTTCAGACTGCTCATTAATTTTACGTGATCCTGTTCAACTCACCGCATGTGGACATCGATTATGTCATTCTTGTTCTCTCAATCAAAATCAGTAAGTTTTATCATTTACACTATTTCACACACATTATCATCTTATCTTTCAAAGAACTCTTATGGCTTGTTCTCAATGTCATATGCAAACACCATCAGATCAAGTAATATTTCATGTTCTCAACTTTAACAACTATTGTATTATATCTTTCAGATTCTAGTCGATCGTGGTTTCAAAAATGATATGCGTACTTTACCTATTATATGCTCATATTGTGATTGGGCTGGTACTCTACAAAACTATGAAGTATACTACCATTCGTTTCATTTATTCATAGTTTTTATTTTTATTTCTTCAAAGAAACATCTTGAGCAACTTCATCAACATTCAATAGCTAATGAGGCGCAGCAAACGAAACTATCAACTGAGGAAAAAATAGCCTCTGTAGTTGTAGAAGGAGTGAACAAAAATCTGGATATTTTAATCCAAAATTTACCATTACCAGAGGAAAATATTAATAATACACAATGTGTATCTTATGATGGAACATTAATATGGAAAATAACAAGTTTTAATGAAAAAATGAGTAAGTGTAATTTGTATATATGAGTGAATTGCAACTTTTTGGTACAATTGGTGCGAAAAACTGAAAGTAGACCTAGACAATTTCTGATCAGTGCATTTTATCATACTCTATGCCTGTGCTACACAGTAAAAATTTCCCAACACTTTACCGCATATTAAGTGAGATACGACTTACTCAATGTAAATGTACCATAAAAAACGTTATTTTATTGAAAAACGTCACTCTACATTTTTCGGTATAATGTAAATTTCTCGAGAAGGGTACGAGATCCAAGGCTGAATTTTTTACCACTAATAGACCTTTTTGTTTTACACATTCTCTAAAAATTTGAGCTAAATCTAACAACCCGTTCGCGAGTTATAAATCAGACAATTTTCAAATCGTTATACTCTACAAAGTGAGTAAACGTCTTTTTTTTAGGAAGTTCGTTTTTTTTTTGTTTAAAATAAACTTGATAAGAGAGACCCTTTTCACATCAGTTTTCTAGTTAAAGTGTTGGCTTTCTTTTTATATCATCCGCGCGCTACCAGCTCTATCATAGGCTGAGCTAGAACCGTGTTTGTGTCACTCTACATAAAAACGAACAAGTGTCTGTTAAACAATGTGACCAGTAGATGAACGAACCAATGAAAATTCAAACTAAAATTAGTTACATATTTCGATAGAGCGTCAAAAACTGTACAAAATAGATTAATTATCTCCTTTTCCTCTGGCCTCTTTATTGTCGAAAAATTTCCTTTTCTCAGCATATGTCATGAAAAAATGACATTTTTTCATCATAAATTTTTTATAACTCAGCAATAACATGAGCTACTGAGCTGAAATTTTGCACGGCAGTGAGGTGTTCAAAGCACTATAACATATCAAAAAATCGTTGAAATCAGCTGGCGCAAACTGGAGTTATTAGCGAAATACATCAAAAATCTAATTGTACCAAAAAGTTGCAATTCACTCATATATATTTCATATGAATAATCAATGTTGAGATTGTTGATAGAGTTATTCGATAGTGATTAGACATCATCCATTAAAATAATAAAAGTTTTTGAACAGATTTATAAGCCTTCGTTTAAACAGCTTTCTAATGTTGTTTAGATCAGAAATCAAATTTTTTTTCAAAGACTTTTGTTGTTAATATAATTATACGTATTTTAGTGGATGCTAAATCTAAAAGACAACCATCGATCTATTCACCACCATTTTATTCCTCGCCTACTGGCTATAAAATGCGAGCTGAATTATATCTTCATGAGGATGGTAATGCTGGAAGAACGTATATGTCACTCTGTTTTGTTCTTATGCGTGGTTCATATGATGCAATATTAAAGTTTCCTTTTAACTATAAAGTTACATTTTGTCTATACGATCAAACACCACAACAACGACATATAATTGATTCATTTCGACCTTATATGGAATCTAATAGTTTTCAACGATCAAGATCAGAAGTGGATATAGCGAGTGGTATTCTTAAATTTGTTTCTTTGGGAATGATACAACAAGAAGGTAATCCATATGTTCGAGATGATACAATGTTTATTAAAATCATGGTTGATTTTGGTGATATACCCACAACTTTATTATCATATGCATTAAATCTAAATCCTGGACTACCGATGCATATTCAACAAAGTATGATTGAAGAAGAACAAAACAAGCGGCTTTTCAACAAAGAAAATACATTGTAAACTTGAAATTTAGTATTTTTTAATCTAGAGAGAAGAACATTGTGAAATCACTGAAATATGCACACGCTTTCATTTCTTATTATTTTTATTACTTGTCTTTCAGTTATATCACACACGTTTTATCATTTTTTTTAAAGTCTATCAATAAACAAAGGTAGTGTTTATTTAGTAATATTAGATATAAATAAGTTCAATAAAACTAATGCTCCTTTTATATACTTGGAAGTTTTTATTTTTCTCTTCGTATTTATATATAGATTCAGAATATAACTTGTAATTATGTATGTGTATCGAAAAATTTATGATAACTTACGTATATATTGCATCAGTAAGCACGTTTTGTGTGAATGTGGATATGAGTGAGTTTGATTGAAGGTCGCTGAGGGTGTGGGTGAAGATAGATTATTCGTTTCAGACCCACACCCTAAAAATGATCTTTATATTTCTTTTATGAAATCATTTCCATTTGTACGTTTGATAACAAAATTTATCGTAGGCTTCAATTACCCCAATAATATTGTATTTTCTTCATGTTCTGCATACTTTTTACAGAAAATATATAAAAATTTTAACAATAACAAATACAATCTGGTAAAACAATGAAAAGAACCTATTGTTGCAGAATCTGTGAGATTACGAGATTAGAATAGTATCTTGATTATGTATTACAAAATCTTGTTTAACTATATAATAAATAGCAAACAAAACCATTATTTTCATTCATCCGAAGAATACAACTTTGTAGGAATATTATGTATAAATATATTGTTTACTCCTATTGTCTAGTTTGTAACTGAGTACGTCTTTCGGTTCCTTCCCTGATCATGTCTTTTTCTACATTGATAGATAAACTAGGGTTAAGACACAATGTATATGGTAATAATATTTTTGGCATATCACCAAAATCAACCATAATTTTAATAAACATCGTATCATTATGAGGGTGTGGGTGGGTGTATCTTATTCATCTCACCTACACCATGAAAGAAAGGAGTCTTTTCGATCGAGTCTTAATGATATTTTAATGTCGGTAATATCTGCAAAACTTCAAATACCATATATGGGTGATCCATAACCAAAAGGTTAAATATGCAATATATTAAATTGATTGATGAATTTAAGAAAAAAAGAATGAAATATGTCATAGTATAAAAAATAGCTCGTTATAATAAAATTCTATTATTATTACGACCCATATAAAGATTAGATAATTAGATATAAATAAACATTGTTCTGAAGTCGCTCATAGTCCATTTTATCAATACCGAAAGTTCTAATTCAGATTTATTGCAATATTCTACCATTCGTTCTTCTAATAATAAATCTCATATTGCACAATACAAAAGTATTCCGCGAAATGTTACGCTTTTCTTTTCTCTTTGTTTAAAACTACGCAGTTTTTTTTATTGGAGTTCGTTACTACAATAAACCACACATAATTGTCATGTTTCTAGTGTTGTATTGTTGATGACCAATAAATATAATATTAAATGCTCGTTCTGCAGATGAAATATCATAATTTTATTTCATTTGATTTTACTCAAGGAATATATTGAATATAAAAGTATTATTACAATAGTTACCTTGGTAGATATTTGAAATCTTTCTTTCGTTTTATGATATTACTATATTCTTAACCAGACAACATCTTGGATATATATAATATTAGAAAAAAATTGCTTCTATTTAAAATATTATCGTAACGACAGTAAGTAGTGATAGTTACATTTATTCAAACAGTAGTTTATGGCATGACAAAATGATATTTTTCAAAGGTGTACTCATTCTTTTTCCTATTATTATCATACTAATATCAATACTTAAGTATGATTTGAATTATTCATAATATATATGTCAATCTCATTACCATTTCTTTGATAAAAATAACCCATAAACAAGTCAATCTATATAAAAAAAAAGAATACTTCTGCTATTTAATAATATCATCAATTCACTTGAAGATTAGACAAACTTTCACCCTCAAGTTGCTCAACACTTGTATTTAATACCTTATCAATAAGATACTATATTTAACAATATACTTGCATACCATAATATTATCTGACATGACATACAATAAGTAATGTACTTTTAATCGTTTTATTAATGTTGGAGATTACGAAACTTTTCCTTTTTTTTCAATGACTGTCATAAAGAAAATTGACTTATTATTATTATTTTTTTCCTTCTAGTCTTTCGCCGAAAGTGAAGAATGCGACAAAAACATGACAAAAAAAAATATTTAACCCATTTTTTTTATTAAATATTATAACATACCATATTAATAATTTGCTTCTAGCATCAGTTTAACTATAATATCTTCTCTGATGACCTAGACAATTGTTATTTAGTTATCAGTTGTAGTATTAAGTTTATTCACAAACCTTCGGAAAATAGAACTATTTCGAAAAAATGAAGGTAGATACGATTTATTTAACTGTAAGAAAAACTATTGATCACGTTTTTCATCGTGATTTATTTTTACCTTTTCATTCGAACAAATATATATTACATGCACTCAAAACATTTTCGTTTTGTTGTTCTGTACTTCCTTTTTTCAAGCCAGACGCTTTATTGAGTATCGATCCGATGAGTCATATATAGAGCATATGGAGTATATTTTTCTGTTCGTAAACGTGATAAATAAAACTAGTGGAATAAATCCCAATTCAATTATCAACCAGATATATTGGATTTAAGATTAAATATAATTCATCATTATCAATAAACATGTCTACTAATCAAGTACGTTATTCTTTACTCTTCACAGACTTGATGCAAGAAATTATTAAGTAATATTATCTGTTTAAAACTATTCCTTTACTAAAATATTAATTGTAGTATCAGTTCAATAAAACCAACTCAAATGGCTATAATGAATCAAATATTTAATAACAACTTCGATCAATTGTATTTGTTAAAAACAATGAGGTGAGTAGTTTTTTTTATATTGTTAAGAAGATTTATTATCTTTGTGTATGTTTATTTATTATTATCTATATTGATAAGGAATATAACTGATAAGAATTCTGAAATTATGTAAAAATATTTTACACCAATCATTATAACTATTATGGAAACGAATCCATTGAAATTGGCATATGTAGAGTAATACGCATTGTTTGACAAACTTTACTTTTTTTTATAAATAATCCCTAATATTTAATTTTTAGTTTTTAGATGATAATCATCAGTCTTACAAGAGTATTCAAATAATTATCTGAAATCATCTTAATGCTAACGATATTTAGCGTGTTGATGAAACCCTTATATAATATTTTTACTTGCTCATATAGCATCAGATTGTGAAAATGATTTTATGAAGATAATATTTGCTGTTTCTTGTATAATAAAGCTTTCTAATTAGTGATTTGAAAGATATTGCGACGAGACTCAATAATTCTCAATCAGTATAATGACTTTGAAAAAAATCAAAATCTGTCCTTGATGATTGTTAAATAATAGAAATTCTATATGCATTCATTGTACAAGTATACATTTATTAATTATGAAAACTGCGCATAAGACCGATATAAGCAAATTGTGTATATTTTGTTTTGTTTACTATTCTAAAATAAAAATAGAAAATACAATTTCATTTATTTGTTGTTCCTTATGTTAATTCATGGTAGTGATGAAATTTTAAATTACGACGATGTCATCTTATTTTTAGTTACAACGAAATTAATGATGTAATCTGATAGTAATCTATGCGCGTAAATCATAGTGTTGTTCGTAATAGGTAATGACGATGTTTCTATACATTATATAGACAAAAATAGCAAATAGATGCAGGAGTCTTTCTTTCTTTTCTTCCCTTTTCGATTATATTAAAAACTATGTATGTCGTATAAATAAATAAAAGTTAAATTTTAAAACATGTTTTATAGTTACGTACTCTTTCTGCGAAATTATGCACCATTCTGTCTTTGAATGTTAAGTTTCTTTTCATTTTACAAATATTGACATAACACGTTGAAAAATTCAAGTTTCTGTCTGACTAAGAGCTAAAAGGAAGTACAGATAAGATTAAATCAGAATAGTCAAACGAAAAGTACCCGTATTACTTCCGCGCCGGTAAAATTTTTGTGATGATTTCCTTTCTTTGCATTCACAAAAAACAACATCGGTATAAAGTACGTACAATGAACTTTTCTTTAGAATCTGTATTATATTCACTCATATGATATGAAATTCAGAAATTTTTCTTTCTTTCAAAATCTATATTTGTAGTACCAAAATAAAACATATGAGTTTTTTCGTTGCCTAAAATAAAAGTTAACATGCCATATTATTTATTAAAGTCTGTAAGTGGTATGACTTTTCTATTAAATGTTATCATAACACTCAGTAATCAAAAGTTTATGAAATTAGTTTTAGAATCATTCCAAATATATATCATAGTTTGACGAATAAATTTATTTGAATTAGTAGTTACGATTATTGATATCTCTAAAGTTTATGATCTATCAAAGATCTACTTGAATTATAATACATTTCATGTATGAACTCGAAACAAAGTATTTGCAGTAGATAAGAATTCCGAGAACATGTATTGTTTGAAAATAGTCTCTTTTTTTGTGTATGATCAGGTAAAGAATATAATTTATACATCGATAATACAACAAATACCGATGAATTTATACAAAACAAAATTATTTTTATTTCGAAATTTTGAAATTTAAGAATTTTCTTCATTTTTATTATTTAAATAAAAGTTAAATGTCAGATTAGAACTATATTTAGTGCACTAAACAAATATTTTGTTTTGTTAATTGGAATATATCTTACTATTATATTAGTTCTTTCTGAACGACAAATATATATTTGAAATATATTCTTTTTAGTTGATTAAATTAAGGTTCTATCAAACAGTATATGCAATATAAGCATCAATAAAGATAAAAATGATTGAGTAATGTTCGTATACCTTACTGCTTTTCTAAACTCATTTAAAAATATTTTATGTGTATACAGATAAAAAATAACTGTCGCCCGGG